AACATTTGAAACAAACGTCTAAAGTATTACATGAAACGTGTTGTGATTAGTGCAACTGTATATTGTCAAAGAAATCTGAATTAAAAAAAAATGTAATTTTTTTTATCACGTTAGTAGTCCTTGACAATTCTTGCAAGTTAATTTATTATGTACTATATTGCGTAATTCTTTTTTAAAGATTTCAAAATGTAGTGTAATATAGTGTATATTGTACAGTAACCCAACTTACTAGAATTGCTCAGTACTATTTGGTGAAAAAAAAAAATTTACATCATTTTTTTTGTTTTTTTTCCTTCCTTCCTAAGAAGAAAGTGAAATCTAAAAAAATAAAATTGTTCAAATTGGTGTTGTAAATTTCCTTCACATTGCTAAATGCCTGAATTTAAGAGATCACTTGAAAAAAGGAAAAAAAGAGTCTAAGAAGGGTGTTTAGATGTAACACATCGATGAATTAAATGAGATTAATTAAGATAATTAAGATTTATTAGTGTGTCTAATATGATTTAATTAAATAATTATGTTTATTAAATATTTTTGACGTGTAAATTTAAATATTTCCAAGAGGTTTAAATGTTGTTGGTATTTATATTTTCACCCCATAAGTGTGAGTAGACACATTTTCTAGTCTAAGTTCCTAAATATCTTTGATATTTGCCTTTTTTCTTTTTTCTTTTTCTTTCTTTTTCTTCTTTTCTTTTTCCTTTCCCCGTAACTCTCCCTCTCTCTCTGTTGTTCACTCTCACTCTTCCTCTCTCTCTCATTCCTCTTACTCTCTCTCTCCTCTAATTTGTCACCAAAACATCCGGATTTCGAACCAAAGAAGGATTTAAAGGAGTTTTCAACGTCAAGAGAATGACATAAGGTAAGATTTCTAAAAAAACTTCTTTTGAATCTCAAAATTTTCTATTAGGAAAACTAATTTTTAGTTCGAAATGGATTTTGATGGATTTTGGGTAAAATCCCGGTGAAAATTGGAGATTTTTTATTCTTTGGACTGGATTTGTCATTTGGAACCTGGATTTGGTAATTTTCCTTTGAAAAATCTCAGATTAAACTTCAAAAATCTCAGATTAAACTCAGATTTCCAAGTTTTTAAACTGATTCGGCAAGTTTTCTCGCCCTGCTGATCTCCACCGGCCAACCTACGCGGTCGACCAATTAGCACACCATCGACCGACCAGTGGTAATGCACCTCTCTATCACCGGTCGGTCGGTCGGTTGACAAAAGAAACAGGGCTAAGTTCTTTTGAAACCCTATTTTGGTCTCGATTTTCGAAGAGAATCCAAATTAGCTTCATTTGGGGACCTAAAGTAGATGGATTAGCATATCTAATCCATGTATTGAGATTAAAACCCTTGGATTGATGATTTGAAACATGAAATGATTTATGAACTTAGAATTTGATTAAGGCACACTAATAGGAAATCGAGGTGTATAATTGAGATTTATTTGCTTTAGGAATGAGAATTGAATCCTAAAGCGCTGTTTTGTGTAACTGCTAAATGAGGAATCGAATTGAAGGCTTTGAGGAAGGGAAAGCCAGAATAGTGCAACGCTAGCCACAGGTTTGGTGCTTGAGAGGTAGGATTTCTTGTCATTTTTTTTGATAGCCTATTTTAAAGAGTTTTGGCTTTGCAAAGGTTTTAAAGAAAGGACATGTTTGTGAAAGAAAAATATTTTAACACAATAGCTTAATTCTAGCTATTGAAATTATAATGAACTATTTCAGAATTTTAATGAATGATTTCTTAAGATAAGAGATATTGCGAACTGGTAAACCTGCTGTGGCCTATATAGGATATGAAGATCGTATTCTTGGGGGTAGAACCCGAAACCCGGATCGGGCCACTACGGTGGTGATAAGGCTTGTGCTTGTGGTTGTGTAAGTAATTTATCAGAGGATGAATTACTTGCTGATGCCTGTAATATGGAATTTTGAGTTTATATTTCCTTTCAGAAAAAGGATGTGAGGTTCCGGTTGTTGTGTTGGAACTTGATATCTTTATTTACTTGTCTAATTATTTATTTACTTGCTTACTCAATTATTTACTTGTTTATAAAAATTTATTTCAAATTACATCCTAGCCTTTCGCTCACGTTTTATTTGTTTCTATATATATTAAACCCCTTCCAGGCGACACTAGGAGCATCGCAGAGTAGTTGAATAAACTGCTACCGTCCGATACAGTGAGGATAGTGTACATCATCCTTGTGTATAAATGTAAGGATTGTTAAATTCAGAAACCATAAACCTTAAGTTTCTAGATTGTGGTTGATATCTGTAATGTTATTTACATATCTATGTATATACAATATTGTATATCTTGTGGGTGGACTCTGAATGATGCCAGATGCTCAGTTTCTAAACCTCTTTTATCAGAAAGTGTGAAAGCCCCAATCACTTTATTGTGATTTAATTTCAGCAAAACGTGGGGCTTGTTTGAAAATTTCTTTAATAGTTTACTTTTGATTTTGATTATTATGTTTCTCAATGTTTAATTACTTTTATAATCATGTTTAACTTCTAAACGAGCATTCACGTCACTAACCCATGTTTTGGGGTGTGACATTAAATGTTGGTATAGTCCATCACAAATTTAGACATTACATGGGATTCTAAAGATAATTTGGTTATTTTAATAAAATTAAATTAGAAAAGCTAAAAAAAAAGGAATACTTTTTGAATTTTAAAAAACCTAAGGATAAAAATTGCATTTAGGTAAAACTAAGGGATACTTTTTGAATTTTCTCTTTAAAATTGCATTGTGAGAAAGGAATTCTTTTTTCTTTTGAGACTCTCTCCGGTAGGACCTTCCTATTAGTATAGTTAATTTATGATCATTAGATATAATTAAAATCACATCAAATTAAAAAATTATATAGAATAGACCATTTTTAAAATTTGACGGTTAAAAATAGAGCACTACTAGTAGTTTATTTTCTCTAGTCCTAACAGACTCCCTTTTTCTTTTTCGACGGTGGTTAAAAAATAATTCTCATTTTACACAAAATCATTCATTCAACCACAAAATAAATATTCGAGTGGGTGACCATCATGTGTTGAGAATACTACTGGATGACCGATGAGCAGCGGGAAGCTAGTGTGATGAAGGGATATTCATTCCAAGCTAAAAATTTATGATTTAAAAAAAAGGAAAAAAATTTAATTAATGTATAGTTAATACTAAAAATGTTTGTTTTAATTAGCATTGTCAATAATTGTGCCTTGCAACAATGGGTTGCCTGACACAAGCGATACTTCATGAATAGCTACTCGTTTACGATATAAAAGAATAAAATAAAATTTTTTTAGATGTATTTAGAGTGGAGAAGGCTATTTTGCTCCATCATTAGAGGAACTGTGTTTTGATTGTTGAATTAATTTTTTAAGGTTTGATCTACAGTAAAAGTAATTATGTGTCACACGCTTTAAATTTTTAATGCAGACGTGTACAGATTTAACCGTTAAAAAACTAATCTAATTGTTAAAAATTAACAATTCAACCGATAAAATAAAATAATCATCTCCGTCATAAACGTTCCTTATTTTTTTCAATGTGTAGGTACCCCATGAATAGAATAGATGTGGTTCCCCTAGATTAATGCATAAATCATGTGCAATATCTTTTTGTATAATTGTTGTTTATGTTGTAATGTGCTTGTATTTTATTTGAATCGAATTGGTTTTGTAACATTAGAAACGTGTTATATGTGATGACTACCAGCAAGAAATTACTATCACTTAGAGACAATCTTTGACCGTCAATCATAATCTGCCAGATTATGTTCAATAATCTATCAGATTATACCACCAAGAAATTACTAGCACTTAGAGACAATCTTTGACCGTCGATCATAATTTGTCAGATTATGTTCAATAATCTGTCAGATTATGTTTTTTATTTTTAAGCAAAAAAGAACATGTTGCATCCAGCTCCGGTAATCTGTCAGATTATTTTTTTTTATATTTTCAATCAAAAAATGAGCTGTTGTCTCTAGCTCCGGCATTGGTCACCAGCGCTAGCCATAATCCGTCAAATTATGTTTCATTACTTACTATATGAGTTTTTTATTTTGACAAAATAAATGATAGGTCGTATCCGGCTCCGTTGTTCGTTCGCCAATCGTTGGCTATAATCTAGCATATTACGTTTCATATTCTGCCAGATTATTTTTTTATTTTCAACTAAAAAATGACAGGTTGTCTCTCTCTGACTCTAGCGTCGGTTGTTGGTCGCCAGCCATAATCTAGCAAATTATGTTTCATAATTTGTCAAAATATTTTTTTAATAAATTATATTTCATAATTTGTTAGGTTATATGGACATAGATTTGTTTATTTATTTATTTTTTGTTCTGAACGCATAAGAAAAAAAATTATTTCAATTAGAGTTGAAATGAAAAAATTATATGGCATTTTAAAAGTAAGTTTCTTATAGACATAATAGAATGAGAAAAGGGCAAAAAAAAAAAAAAAATGTAGCCATCCGTAACCAGATATCCAACTGCACAGATTCCCATTTTATTTCACCAGCTTATAACGCATGGTGGTTTCAATTCGACAAAATAGATTGGGCGGACCAAAGACTCAGTCTATATATATTTACTAATCATCTGTAAGATAGCTTAAACATTATCACATTAAGATTGAATAAAAAAACATGCATTTTTTTGCCCTTTCCCCTTAGCAAAATCTGTGCCCATTTGATCAGAAAAAAAAAAAAAAAAATCTGTGCCCATTTGTAATTTTGTACGTCAAGGTAAATGACGTCATGAAACAAAAAATCATTTAGGTGGAGTTGGGTCGGGTCCCGAGTCCAATAAACGTTAAGGCCCGGCCCAAATTTAACAAGAAGGGCAGTAGTGTAGACTGTCTAGTATTCCCGCTCGGTTTTTAAATGCCGCCCTTTTTTATATCTACTTTTTCGTCTCTCTTTTCAGTCAGACAAAATATAAATAAAATAAAAGAAAAAAATTAAGTGGCATTTTTTCTCGTCAAGTAGTTGAAGATGCAGAGAGAGACTTGTACTATATTTGGGATTAGGGATTCAGGCAATGGATTCACCTGAAACTGCTAAAATCACCTCCTCCCATGGCTTAGATTCTCCACCCGTTCAAGTAATTAAATTTATCTTGATTTTTTTTTTTTTTGTGGATTATGTGTATTATGTGCATTTTCTTCGGAAAAGAGGACAATCTAAGTTGGAAATAAGTCCTCCTAAGTTGAATATTTTTCATTTGTAATTATATGTTTGGTGTTGTGGGATTTAATGTTGGTTTGGCAGGTTTTTTGTGGATTATGTGTATTATGTGCTAGGATGTTTATGCATTGCGCTTTTATCATGTAATTTATAGCTAATTTCGAGGAAGTAGTCCTTTTGTGAAGAGCTTCAGTTGTTTGCTTTTATTTGATTTTTTGTTTGGTTCTCTTAACAATTGAACAATTTGGCCTTTTTCTGAGCTTTATCGTTTTTTTTTTTTTTTTTTGTCATAAACATGTTTATCATATCTACTTTGCTAGTTCGCCTTTGCAAGTGATCTCAGCAATGACTCTACCATATGGATTAGCTGACCAGAATTTATACATTGAACTTCGATTCGTAAAGGCGGATCACAACTAGTGGATAATATTTTAAGTTTCACTCTCATTTCTAATGAACAAGGGAAATCAGCATTTTGGAGACCATTGTCTTTATTAGTCAGGAAAATGGCTTTTGCATTGTCGAGCTTGATACTGATGTTTATGAAATGGGTATCTTGTTCTCAATATGAAGAAACGGACCTCTTATTACATTAGTTAATTTAATTTCAGGACTCCCCTGTTTTCAATTTCATAAGCAACCTATCACCAATAAAGCTCGTGAAGAGTAGTGCACACGCGGTACAAGTGTTATCTGGACTTAGTTCTCCTCCTATTGTGTTCAAAACACCACGTACAAAACAACCCAGTGAGACAAATGTCTTGAAAAGGTTTGAATTTCAGATTGGTGTTTGTGATTTTTTGTGCCTTCCCAGTCTATATCATTTGAATTTACAATTTCTTCTTAGGTCCCAATCCCTGCAATTGTCTATTGCTGAAGCACCTCAAAATATCAACAGAGGCAAGGACGGTGTTGATGGCTCGGTTGATTCTGAGCAGTTCGTAACTGTATGTCAAAATGGATTGATTGCTGATACCCAGAAGGATTGTAATGTGGATGAGTTTTTCGAAACTCATCCTTCCAGCTCATCAGGATGTGTTGATGAATTCTTGGCTGACCCTGGAGGGGCAGATTGGGGGAATTCTGTTTATTCAGATACTCCAGGTTCGAAAAATCCTAATAATGCATCCAAATTCTCCCAAGGTTGTTCGAAGGAAACTATGCTAGAGCTTGATGACAGAAATGGTGTTGGGAGGGATGTGGGAACGGGGCAAGCTGAAACAGACATCCATGGAGAGCCAAAAGTTGATGCTAAATCAGTTGGAATCGTAGAGAAGGAAAGGGATGGCGAGTGGTCATCTTATGAGTGTCTAAATATCAAGACCAATTTGCACGTAGGCCCTGTAGAAGATTGTCAAAATTCACCAGCTCAGGTTCAGGTAACCATACTCTCTTTCCTTATTCAAATGGGAAAATTTTGGAATTGAACCACTCGATTTAGTGTGCAAAATGCATCTCTACACTCTCCATTTCTGTGTAAGTAAAATGTCCTTAAGTTGCAGGGTATAGAACGTGGGCATCAGAATGATTTTGAGGGTACTTCCCAACCTTCAGCAGAACCATTTCATGTTCAGATATGCGAAGATCATCGTGAGCATGTTGGCGAGTACTCAGATGGATTGGGTGAAAACATTATGCTTCATGGTCACCAGGTAAAAATAATTATAAATGAATTCTATCCACCTAGTCTTGTTTATGTATTCATTGTTTATGTGTTTCTAATTTTATTCTAGCTACTTATAATTCAATTATGCGGATATCTAAAATATTTGGAAATCGTTTTCCCATAGTGGAGAAAGGAAACTGGGGGCTCAATGAATATTCATATAGTGGTGATGTGGTGTAATAAGATTAGTCCAAATTCCTTTATTAAAAAAATAAAAGAAGAAGTTCACTTGGTGTTTGTGTATCTATGTTTTAGGTTTCAACAGTCTTTGATCCTAGTAGTAGAAAATTAATTGCAAATGTGCAAGTTAAGCTTCAGGTGTCGAGCTTTAACAGTAAATATTGGAATGATAAGTACACAGGAAGCTTGGAAGGGTTTTGTAAATTTTATTAATTTATTTGATACATCCCAAGTTCTCTGATAAGTGCTTTTGCATGTATAGGGAGGAGAGATAAATATTGTGTTTGCACACACATACTCTGTGGGTACTAACTAGGGGTGGACTTCTGAAGGTATTTTAGGAGAGAATTGAGCACTTTTATTTCTCTTCTAATTCTTAATAAACCGGCCTCCTTATATAGATGAGCCAGAGAATAGCAAAATAAAGAAAGTAAAACAAATAAATAAACAAATCAAAATAAACGGAAACTGCCTAATATTCGAATCCCTTGACTTTAGCTATCAATCCTCATCATTCCTCTATATTTGGACAGAATTAGGACAGCTATACATTCCTAATTTACCGACACCCCCTCTCAAGTTGGTGCATAGATGTTTATCATGCCCAACTTGCTTACAAAGAACTCAAAATTTTGTCTAAGTAGACTTTTGGTGAAGACATCGGCAATTTGCTGAGTTGGGCAGGAAAGGTATGTAGATAACTCCATTTTCCAGTTTCTCCTTAATAAAGTGTCTATCAATCTCCACGTGCTTCGTTCGATCATGCTGTACTGGATTATTCGCAATACTAATTGCTGTCTTATTATCACAAAATAGCTTCATTGGTAGCTCCACCGGTTGGTTCAGTTCTTCTAGGATTCTCTTTAGCCAAAGAATCTCACAAATTCCTAGGGCCATCCCCCTATATTCGGCTTCAGCACTACTCCTAGCCAAAACACTTTGCTTCTTACTCCTCCATGTCACTAAGGTTCCCCATAGAAAAGTACAATAACCTGAGGTAGATCTCCTGTTCGTCACAGATCCTGCCCAGTCTGCATCAGTGTAGACTTCAATCTTTCGTTGATCACTTTTCTTAAACAGTAATCCTTTTCCTGGAGTCCCCTTCAAGTATCTTAGAATTCTATAGACTGCTTCCAAGTGTTCTTCATAGGGAGAATGCATGAATTGATTCACCATACTGACTGCAAAAGAAATATTTGGTCGAGTATGAGACAGATAAATTAACTTCCCTACCAAACGTTGGTATCGACCGGTGTCTACAGGAACTCCTTCTTTAACTTCTCCAAGCTTCGAGTTAAACGCCATAGGAGTATCTGATGGTTTACACCCACTCATTCTTGTTTCTTCCAATAGGTCTAGGATATACTTCCGTTGGGAAACTACTATACCTTTCTTAGACCTAGCAATTTCCAGTCCAAGGAAGTATCTAAGAGGTCTTAGATCCTTCGTCTCAAATTCGGTGGCAAGGCTCTTTTTTAGTTTACAGATTTCCTCGAGGTCATCACCAGTGAGAATAATGTCATCTACATAGACAATTAAAACTGCAATTCTACCTTTAGCAGAGACCTTCACGAACATGGTATGATCAGCTTGCCCCTATAAGAACCCTTGAGTTTTTACAAACCTCGTAAATCTATCGAACCATGCCTTTGGGGACCGTTTGAGTCCATATAGTGACCTCCTCAACCTGCAACATTTCTTCCCAAAGCTCTCAACAAAACCCGGGGGGAGCTTCCATGTAGACTTCCTCTTCTAGATCTCTATTTAGGAAAGCATTCTTGATAACCAGTTGATGTAGAGACCAGTCTAGGTTAACTGCAATTGAAAGCAACACTCTCACAGTATTTAGTTTGGCAATTGGTGAAAAAGTTTCAGAATAGTCGATGCCATAAGTCTGTGTAAACCCCATGGCGACCAATCGTGCCTTGTATCTTTCAAGTGACCCATCAGAATTGTACTTCACAGTAAACACCCACTTACATCCAACTAGTGTCTTTCTTTCTGGAAGGTCCACTTTCTCCCATGTCCTATTTTTCTCAAGAGCTCTCATCTCCTCAAGGACCGCCTCCCTCCATTCAGGAACACCTAGAGCCTCCTGTATATTCTTAGGAACAACAACACAAGACACTTTGGAAGTAAAAGCACGGAATGATGGAGACAGACTCTGATAGGACATATAATTATACAACGGGTATTTGGTACACGTTCTAGTTCCCTTCCTAATAGCAATAGGAAATCTAGATTTTCATCAGACTCTGATATGATAGCTGGTTCAGAAGACTCAGACTCAAAAGGACTTGACTCAGACTGAGAATTACCTGATTGACCTTCAATCTCAGGATTTGCCCTTGGGTTAGTTTCTTGATTATGCTGTAAGTTGTTGGTCTTTTTCTGTCGTTCCGGATACTTCCTTGAATAGACCATCCCTTTATAACGGTTACCACCTTGCCTTGCACACATCTCAATCCCTTCTTGGGTTTGATTTTCTGAAGGCACAAAAGAACAATCCCTGTTTCCATTATTTGAGACATCACACGTTTTTGAGATAGAATCATAAAGTGTATCTTTACCATTCTCAGGTTCATTGTTATGAGCATTAGCATTAGATAAAAAATCATCTAATAACCAACCAAAGGTGGAATCCGAATCTTCCCTAGATGATCCCCTTGAAGATGAGGCATGTTGAAAAATGGTTTATCTTCAAAGAAGGTTACATCCATAGAAATGAAAAATTTTTGGGATATGGGATCAAAACACTTGTATCCTTTATGAGTTGAAGGGTAACCAACAAAGGCACATTTTTTTGCTCTAGGATCAAGTTTTCCGCAATTATTATCATGGACATGGACGAATGCTGTGCACCCAAACACTCTAAGTGGGAGATCATAGGATAGCCGAGAGGAAGGAAAGCACGTCTTAAAGTAATTCAAAGGGGTTTCAAACTTTAAAACTTTTGAAGGCATCCGATTGATCAGATATGTAGTTGTAAGAATAGCCTCACCCCATAAGTATTTAGGAACCTTTGTGGAAAACATTAAAGACCGTGCAATCTCTAAAAGATGTTTATTTTTCCTCTCTACTACCCTATTTTGTTGGGGAGTATTATTGCATGAACTTTGGTGGACAATACCTTTCTCAACAAAAAAACCTCCTAAGATCTAGTTGAAATACTCTTTACCATTGTCACTTCTAAAAATCTTAATTTGGGTTTGAAATTGGGTTTGAATCATTTTGTAAAAAGATTTGAACACATTTTCAGCATCGGATTTTTCGTTAAGAAGAAATACCCATGTAACCCGAGTATGATCATCAATGAAGGTTATGAACCACCTTTTTTCCAGTTTTCGTTCTAATTCTTGAAGGCCCCCACACATCACTATGAATCATAGTGAATGGTTCTGTGGCCTTATAAGGTTGTGCTGGAAAGGATACTCTGCGATGTTTGGCAATTTCACAAATTTCACACTGAAAAAAAGATGAATTTTTATTCATAAAAAGTTTAGGAAACAGATGTCTCATATAATAGAAACTTGGATGTCCTAATCTAAAATGCCATAACAGAATTTCATTCTCTCTAAGAATTGAAATAGAATTGAGACAAGTCTTCTGGGACTGCCTGTTCAAGTCATATCCATCTTCGAAGAAATAGAGACCTCCAACTTGCCTAGCATTGCCAATTATCTTCCCCGTAGTCAAATCCTGAAATTTACATCCAAATGAAGAAAAATTAGCAAGACAGTTTTGATCCATTGTTAGTTTACTGACTAACAGGTTACAAGATAACTTGGGAACATGAAGAACATTATGGAGTGTGAAACAGGGAGAAATCACAATTGATCCTTTCCTGGCTACGGCAGAGAAAGAACCATCTGCGATTTTTACTTTTTGATTTCCTGCACACGGACTGTACGATGAGAACATTTTAGAGAAACCGGTTATATGATCTGTTGCACCAGAGTCAATTATCCACAAATCATTTGAATTGATACTAAAACAAGACGCGACTAGAAGACTACCTTTCTGAACCAGAGAACAAGAAGGATTGGAATTAAGGACACTTTGGGATTGAAGAAGTTTACAGATTTGCTCTAACTGTTCCTTTGTGAATGGCTGCGTTCCAGAGGTAGTTTCAAGCCCTGATTCGGCTGTATTGGCATGGAAACCATGCTCATCTCCCGGTGGTTTCTTCTTCCATTTGTTCGGCTTTCCATGAATTTTCCAACACGTCTCTCGAGTGTGCCATGGCCGCTTACAGTGATCACACCAAGGCCTTGTTTTGCCATTCTTCTTGTCTCCATCAGCCTCAACTTCTCGGGACAGGAGTGCTGATTTTTCTTCCTCTGGTTTGGGTTTCCCAATCATCACCTTCCGCCTCATCTCTTCTCTCCTTACTTCAGAGAAAACTGCACGGATAGAGGGCAGTGGTTTTCTTCCCAATATTCGGCCTCTAACTTCGTCAAGTTCTTGATTCAAACCTGCCAAGAAAACATAAACACGATCGTTTTCTTTCCTTTTTTTGTGTCGGATACTGTCATCAGGACACTCCCAATCATCTTCATAGCAAAGATCCAATTCCTGCCACAAGGATACAAGTTCATTATAAAACATAGTAACATTCCGGTCTCCTTGTTTGGCTTTCCACAATTTTGTTTTCAGTTCAAAAATTTGAGAAGAATTTTCGATGTCGGAATACATCTCACGAACTGCATCCCACACATCTTTGGCTGTCGGCAGAAACATGTGTGGTTTTCCAATGGCTGGCTCCATTGAATTGATTAACCACTCAGTGACTAGAGAGTTTTCTGACCTCCATGACGCCATCTTCGGATCTCCTGCAGCCGGCTTGTTTCTCCAGTCAAATGGCCAAGCTTCCCTCTGCCGCCAAGCTTCCCTCTGCCATCAATCGCCAATTTCACGGATTGAGCCCATTCCAGATAGTTTTGACCATTCAGCCTATGGTTTGTTAGTTGGAAAGGTATATTCGAACCCAGAAAATTTTCACCACTGCTGGTTGTTCCTCCGCTGCTGGCTGTAACTCCTCCACCGGGCACCGGAACTGTGTTCTATGACTGTGCATCTTCAGCCGCAGCACCACTTGAACCAGTCATCGCCCGCTTGTAATTCATCTAGGGCAGAATAATTTTTAGAGCTGTGGCTTTGATACCATGAAGGTATTTTAGGAGAGAATTGAGCACTTTTATTTCTCTTCTAATTCTTACATAAACCGGCCTCCTTATATATAGATGAGCCAGAGAATAGCAAAATAAGGAAAGTACAACAAATAAGTAAACAAATCAAAATAAACGGAAACTGCCTAATATTCTAATCCCTTGACTTTAGCTATCAATCCTCATCATTCCTCTATATTTGGACAGAATTAGGATAACTATACATTCCTAATTTACCGACAACTTCTTTCAACAAAAATATATAAATAAATAAATAAAAATAAAAAATAGGGGTGGATTTCTTGATATCCATCCCACATTATTGCATGCCCTACAAAGATATTTCAAGATTTAGTGAGACATTAGGTGGTGAAGGTCAACGTAGTTTTTTAATCTTATTTTTCTTCAACGCCTGGTTTTCTTGTAAGATACCCGAGGCAAATGATACTGAAATGTGCTAATGTTCCTCTCTACTTGCTGTGTTTGCTTGAGGTATTCCTTCATTTTAACGCTAGCATGGAATTCCTCTTCTTTGGTTGTTTTACCTAGAGTTTGATTATGATAGAGCAAGTGTGGGGCTGGTGCCTTTATTAAATTGCAAGAATGTTGCTTGTTGACGATAGGGCATTGAAAACCAACGTGGCATGCTTAGACGTTGTCTGCAGTTTGAAGAAGCTCCTCCGCGTACTACTGGATACAGTGACAGTCCTCTGAATCTTGCAAATACTGTTAAGAGTTTAAAACTATCCACCTCTGGTCATGTGGAATTAAAAGAAACTAGTGAGAGACTCATGGTTAACTCGCTCCAATCCGCTGCTCCCTCACTGCATCCTCGATCTTCTGAAAAATTTCCAATGGTTTCTAAGCCATTAGGTATTGGCTTGCATCTAAACAGCATTATTAATGTTGCATGCACTGCAACTGCAGGCGAAAAGTCCACAGATCATCACATATGCGTACGAGTAATGAAGTCAGGCACGGCGAGCAATAATTTGGTGGGGAACACAAAGAGTTGCCCAATGAAATTACGTGCAGTTGAGAAAGATTCAGCTAGTGATGAAGAGATAATATCCGTAACTAAAGCTTCAATTGTTCCAAGTTCTGTCACTAATGAGTTTCATCATACTGCGGAAGATCATGATGCTGCTCCAGATGAGAATGGGAAATCCAACTCTCACAATGCTGACAATTTTGAGGAACATGACCAGCCAAGCCCCAGAAAGAAAAGGTTAATTGCCATATTCATAATCCATAGTGTTTGATTTTCTTCATTTGGTATCCCTTTTTTCTGACCGCTGGTTTGGTTATGTTCTCAGGAAGAAAACAAGCACCGGTGGTGGTGATGGGTGCAACCGTTGCAATTGTAAGAAAACCAAATGCTTGAAACTGTACGTAGATCTTTGCCTCTTCTAATTCACATTTTTATATTTGTTTTGTTGCTTCATACATTATTTATTTTTTTCGTTGGCAGTTATTGTGATTGTTTTGCTGCTGGAATCTACTGCTCGGATCCTTGTTCTTGTCAAGGATGCTTTAACAGACCTGAATATGAAAAGACTGTTATCGAGACAAGAGAACAGATTGAATCACGTAATCCCCTCGCATTTGCTCCTAAGATTGTACAACGCATCCCTGAGCTTCCACCAAATCATGGGGTACTCACTACTGTGCCTTTTCAGCTTGGTGTTATTAGCATTCTTTTTTGTCAGCTATCAGATGATGGTATTTGTTTTAAACAGGAAGATGGATATCGGTCAACACCATCCTCGGCAAGACATAAGAAGGGTTGTAATTGCAAAAAGTCAATGTGCCTAAAAAAATATTGTGAATGCTATCAGGTCAGAATTTAGTTGCTACATTATCTATTTCCTATTACCTTGTTTTTTCCTTTTTTTTTTTTAATGTTTTAAGATCATCCTAATTGCTTTTGTTGAAGGCAAATGTTGGGTGCTCCAGTGGGTGTCGTTGTGAGGGATGTAAAAATGTTTATGGCAGAAAGGAAGGTAGTAGTCTAAGCTATATGTTCGTCTCCCTCTCCCTATTACATGTAAAAAATTTTGTTGCTTCACCCTATTAGTTCATATACGAGTAAATATTTTTCTTATTTTCCATGTAGTTTTCTTCTTTAGAAAGCTTTTGTTTTCATTAAATCTAAGTTGACTATGTAACTAATTAAAAAAAAAAAAATGCATTTTACATTAAATCTAAGTTGACTACTTAACTAATTAGAGAAAATGTATGGATGCCTAAAAAATCAGTGAACAATGTCACTTTAAAAGAGATTGTTGCTGTCATTGCAGAATATGCTGCAATGGAGCATGGGGTAACAAGAGAAATGGTGGGCAACAGAAAATTGGAAAGCACATTTGATAAGGAGTTGGAGATCGTAGGAACCAAAAGAGATCTTTTATGTACTGAATCAATTAACCCGCACAACCTAACACCATTGACACCATCATTCCAGTACTCAGAGTAAGATTATTTTTATTAGACGCTCAGCCTGAATATGAATATTGTTTATAGTGTTGTAAATACTAAATTATGTAATCATTAATTTTCTATTCCTTTATTCTCTTCATAGCCATGGAAAGGATGCACCAAAATCCCGGTTTATTTCTAGAAGGTACCTTCCGTCACCTGATTCTGCCATTTTATCATCTAATGAAAAAACAAAATCTCCTCCGAGAGATTTGGAGAAGAGTGACGTTCTTTTGGAAGTAAGTGAAGAATTACCAGATGAGGGTTCTTATGAATGGCAAGTGGATTATAACGTGGGAATAGCAGACTCATCTTCATCGAGAAATGATTCAGTCCCCAGTGTGCCACATCTCACTCAACACCCAGATACTTCAGTGCCAATGGCTTCTGCAACTTCATTTAGAAGGGACTACAGAAATCTTTCACAAAACCAACTCTGCCCTGGAAGTGCCCGTCTCTTGTCAAATTCCATGCGTAGGCACGGTTCACCGCTTGCTCCAATGACTAGGTTGTGTGAGGCAACAAAGTCTCGACAAGGGCTTGATTCTGGCAGTGTGCAACTTGTTGACATTTTGGAAGATGAAACGCCTGTAAAAGTAAGTTCTCCAAATAAGAAGCGGGTTTCTCCACCTCACAGCCACATTTTCGAGCTCGGTTCAGGCTCTTCAGGGAAACTGAAAAGTGGGCGCAAGTTTATATTAAAGTCCGTGCCTTCCTTTCCTCCTCTTACTCCTTGCATTGATTCCAAAGGAAGTACTTCTGAGAACACACACAAGCTTCAAGGTGATAGTGTCAAAAGCCAAAATGTTACCGTCAATCCTTGATTCTGATGTGAGTTCCTTGTCATTTTTCAAACCTCTGTTTATCATTTGTATTATTCATAATGATAACTCTTAACAGACAATTGTCTGGTTTCAGCATCCTTTTCACTGAGGGACTTTCACTTTCAGCAACCATTATCGTGTACATTAAATAAAACTTGTTACAGCTATGGACGTCTTTGAGGATCTTCTAATACTCATGTGTATGTGTATGCCACCAACCTACACGTGTGTATGAAGATAAAATTCCATAAACATGTTGACAATTTGTTATTTCTGTTAAATAGGTCTCGAGGGGCCACACGTGCGAAAATCATCTCAGAAAATTGGAAAAGCTACAATGTTCCTGCATCTTTTCTAGTCACATTCTAGTTTATAGTTCCTAGTTTTATTGTTGGTTTTTCTTATTGAAAAATTTCAATTAAATTGAATGTCAGATTTCCCTATCCCTAGTTGCGAGGACAACTAATATTGCCTCAACTTACTCGGCAGAAAATAAGAAATTTTGATATATCTAAATGCATATTTGGACCATGCTGATTATTAAATTTGCCTTCAATTTTGTTATTACACTCCATTATTTGAGTTTTTTTTTTTTTTTTTTTTTTTTTTTTTTTTTTTTTTCCTTTTTTTTTTTTGTGTTTTTTTTTTTTTTTTTTTTTTTTTTTTTTTTGTATTTCCATGCTCTATTGTCGAGTTTGTCATTTAATGGAGTTTTGTATTAGAAGAATTTAGGAGAATTACTCAAGCATGGGACCGACAAGGAAAGCGAAATAGTGAGTTAGATATTGGGCTATACTTGTTGACTCCAAGGTTGCTTGTTGATTCAAATGTTTATTTATTTATTTATGGATACCTCTTGAACTTTTTAAATTTGACAATTTAGTTATTCTTTTTTTTTTCTTAACAATTGACCCTTTAACTTTTAAATTTTTGCAATTAAACCCTAATTAGAAATGAGGCCTTTTCTTTTGACGATTTTGATCGTATGACGTGCATGTGAGCATTTATAGAGGGTAATGAAACTCACTTCTCATCTTATTTGTTCGATTCAAAGTTGTTTAATGTGTTTGAATATAATTAGATGTGATAAATAACTCTTAATTTTTAAGGGTTATTATCCTCAATAGACTCTATAAGAGTGAAAAATGACTTTTGTTACTCTCAACAGATGCTCACATTCACTTCATGTGATTAGTTTGTCAAAAAAGTAAATGTTATTTTCAATTGAATCTTAATTGTAAAAATTTTTAAGTTGGAGTCAATTGTCAAGAAAAAAGAATAAGAACTAAATTATCAAATTCAAAAAGTTTAAGAAGTATCCGTAAAAAAAGTCATTTTTTTAATAGAAAAAAAGCCAACAGTTGAATAGTCAAAGCTCCTGTTTGGTTTATTAATTTGAATTTTGTTAGTTTGAACTTTTTAATTTGAACAGAAAAATTCAAATTGTGTGGTTTAAATTGTAGTTTGAAATGATGTTTAGATGTGTAGTTAAAGTTTTAATTTGAACAGTGAATAAAATTTGAATTTGTGTTTGGTAAGTGTAAAAAGCAGAAATAATGGACACTTTTTATTGTTTAAAAATGATTTGAGCGGTTGAACTTGAAGGGTAGCTAAATTCTACGTTAGGCCGTTTAACTCAAATATGCTTATCAAACGTCAGTTCAAACTGTGCTTACTGTTCAAACTAAATTAAACTAAACTAAACTAGTAAAACAAACAGAGCCTTTAAGTCTTTGGTTTTGATTCATTAAAAAAAAAAAATCTCTGGTCTTTTAAGTAAAATAACCAGCAGTCAGAAGAAAGATATGAAGTTTGAGGTCTTGGCACTTGCTATTCAATGAAAAAGATACCAAAATTCGTTGTATACCCCATGTGAACACCAAATTATCTGATATTCGAAATCTGAAATAACATATTACAAGGTAAAACTTATTATTATTGGAACAACAAAATTTAGTAGATGTGAAGAGAGAGAGAGAGAGAGAGAGAGAGAGACGGTAGAAGAGATGAGACGGCTTTATACAAGCTCAAGCCATGCTGCTACATTTCACTATGCCGCAATACCCATATCCATATCTATTATATAGTCTCGTATAGTTATGCTAACCGTTAAAGATCATCTTTTTCTTCTAGTAAGCTCGGGACCCCTCAAGCCCCAAAGTTACTGTTAGCCAATTACAAACTTCGTCAGTCTCCTCAGGGATTGTGTAGTGTCCCATCCTGCATTTTGGAATCAAACTTTGAGCATGACATTGCAACTGAGGAACAAATAGCCAAATATTAAAGAGTATTTTGAAGGCGGAGAAATCATGGACTTACGCGTTGTAGGTTCTAAACGTTAGATTTCGAAATCCTGCCGAGGACAAGGCCTGAGCAGATTTCTGTCCGAGCTGATAGGCGACCACATCATCAACTGAAAGAATTATACAAATTAGTTGAAGGCAATGAATTCAAGTACGAGTTCATCTTAGAACAGGGCCTCTTTGACATTTGAAGCACATGCAGTGATAAGGCGCACTCTAGTTGGAGTAACGAGAGTTGCCTTGATACTTACCAATCTTTTATCTTTGGCCTCTTACAAACAATGGTTAACTGAAATAAAATTGAAAAACAAACTTTTTGGGGATCTTCTAAGAAAACCCAGGTTCAAAGCTTAACAACTGGGCATTTTAACTTTAGCCTAAAGTAGGCATTCCACTCAGCAACATCAAAGAAGAAAAAGGAAACAATTCCATGAGCATCAAAACCGTGAATAATCACTCAAGACACTCCTTTAGAAGCACCATCTGCCAAGACCATACTTGTGCTAAAATTATTCTGAATTTATACAAAGTGTGAGGCCAGATACTAATGTTTTGGGATCAAAGCAGCAAGAGATAAAGCAGTCCTGAACAAGATAGAGTTCTTATATGCATTAAGGAATGTTCTCTGACGTAAAGACGTTTGGTTGTGTAACACATGCAAAGCATGGAGTTATATATCAAGTTACACTCATTTATATACGTCTACAACAAATATATATCCACGACTGATGATAGCATTCATAACCGCAGCAGTTCTTGCAATTACAGCATGACCCAAAAATGGACTTGTAAAAGCAAACAGCAAACTCATGTATAGCATAATATATAAGAAAACATGAATTACCTAAGCCATGGCACATCAAAATGGGAACAGATGCTGCGCGCCTTGCAGCCTCCAGTGAACCCTCCATCTGATTCCTCAAGGTTCTACAACACAGTTGAAAAAGAAGTCAATGTTTTGTATGATAGCAGTGTGTAGAAGTTGTTTCTTGTGCAGATTATGTATTTGTGCGTGTAGGACAGAAGCTGAACCTTGAGCCTGGAAGCCAGCCACTTAGACCAACAATTGCACTTAGGTCGACTGGATACAAGTTTCCATTACCAAATTTCCCAAGAACACGGCAGGTTGTGGAGTAGAGGGCTGTTGCTGCACCCATGCTGAAGCCCCCAATACCAAGTTTGACTGTTCATAATGAAAAACCTACGTAAGTTACCCCTAAAAATAATTGCAACTAAGAAGTCTCTGCTTAACATATATGAAGCACAGATACAAGTTATCATTAGCCTCAAGTCCTCAACAGATTTCTAAATATCCATAAATCAGCATCTTATACCTAGTCTAACCATAAGTCAAACATTATAATGATTTTGACTACATATTTCTCCTAATCCTCGTAAACTAGATAAAAAGGTCAGAAATGTTATGTATCAGGATGAAGATCAGGTGGGACTATGTAGGCCAGGTTAGGAGCGGCGTTGCTCGAAAACTACAACCGGAGAAAAATAAAAGGAGGTACTGAAGAGAAAAATCTACATGCATGACATGAAAGCTGTGGACAGTATGTTCAAAGAAGTTCTATCATTCTTTTTTAAATTCATTTTCTCTTCAAGGGAAAAATTCAAAAGCCACAGGTAAGTTATCTGAAAACCTCAAACTCTATCTTTTTTCCATATCTGAAGATTATACCCATGTGCATATATCTCATTTATCTTCTGTTAAACTCTTTGGTCGACATATTCATTAGAAAGTCAAGATAAGAGTTTCAAAAGCTCCCAAGGGAGAAACATACTGCCAGCGGGTTCTGTCGATAAAAGATTTGCGACATGCGCAGCTGAAGCATCTAACCCCTCCAAATCGTCAGGGGCATCTTCTGAAATATCGCCCACATCAAACCCTGTTGTGGATCACTCAAATATTTCAGCATGCTCTACAGGGATACATTAGAACAAAAAATTTGAATCAACATGAAACTTTTGGGATTTAAGATTGAATAACTTGTCTTTTCGAGCATAGAGTGCTTATATAACAAACTGCTAGAACAAATCTTACAAGCTGTGCAAGAGAATCCACCAAATAATGCTACTGGGCGAGTAGGAGCAGTAGGACAAATCCACTTAATCTGCACCATGAATTTCAATAAAAACGGACAACTAATCAGATGAACCATGTACTGGTTATTAACTAGGACTGCTCAAAATGAATGTTGCATGAGCAGATAACAGCAACCAAGAAACTTAAAAACCATCCTTACATTTGAAAGAGGAAGGGTTTCCAAAAGCTGCGACCAGCTGCAGAGAAACCACAAGATGGGAATATTCAGCTCAGTCAAAAACAGTTATCCTAAGCCTTTTCAACAGAGCTCAAGCACATACTGAAATAACTATATTAAGAATCCAACTATGAAAATGGGTTCCGTTAAACTCCAAGAAGAAAACGATACAATACTACAAATGAAAAATAAGTTAAATGCTTTTTTTTTATTTATTTATTTTATTTTTTAGAAAATTTGATTTGGGGACCACTCTCAAAGTTGATAATGGACTTAGGAGCTTAAACATAGTATTAAAAAAAAGAAGGGAATTAATAACTTCAGCAATAGTACATGTATAGCATTAATGTATAGTATACTTTTGTTTTCAAGTACTACGGTTAAAGGACAACCAAACTAGTGAACTAGTGGTCCCCTATTGTAGGCTCTATGCCATATACATATCCTGGATCCGAGGCTTCCACAACATAACCTGGAATCAAATGATAAGATGGAAGAAAGAGACAACAAATCATTTTTTTTACTTCACGGCAGCAATCCTCATTCCCATCAAATCAATTAGTTTGAGAATCTTCTAAAAAGGAAATAAGAGTTCTAGAATTTAACTAAAGAACAAACTTCTCCACCAGAAGCAGACAAGATATTGACATTCTCTCCGTTTTTTTTTTATGTTGCAACAAAAGAAGTCCACCACCCTCATAAAAGGCAGATGCCCATGTGAAAGAAAAATAATGAATTCATACTTAGTCATGAAATCTACAAAGGGGGGAGGAATATCATATTCATAATCATGTCGATCAATATTAGTAAAACCCAACATTTTCTATCTCAAACTGTTGATCCATGCACGTCCAGAGAAACCATGACTGAGTAACAAATAACAGTTCCTTTGCATTTATAAAGTTAACATGACTAGATAGGATCTCAATATGCCTAAAAATTTACTCCTGGGGCTTCGTAGCTATAGCTCGACGTGAGACTACAATTGTCATTGATAACTGGCTCACAAGAACTAAGTTTTACTAACAAAGAAAGTAAGAAACTCATCACTTGGTAATTCACAATTTTAATCGTCACTGTCAACAATGACAAACCAAACAAAAGAAAACATTTATTAATACCTTGAGCCCTTGTCACCAAGGCCATGAAGCCAAACTATAGTTGCCTGGTGTTTCCCTTTAGGCCTGACCACATGTGTTCTTCCAAACTCAAATGTCCTTCTAGCACTTCTACTACCTGTTTTGCCATTCCAAAACACATGGGACACAAATGTGAAATGAGGAAGAAACTGGCCATAACGAACAGATTAGTCTTTAGTGGTAAAGATATATAATTCATACATACAAAAGCATAAGTTTAAATAAAAGGGTTGTGAAAGGTAGGGGATAACTAACCAGAACCGCTACTAGGATTATTGTAGCTCATTATTCTTCAACCCAAATATATAGAATAAACAATCCTTTTGTTGCAAACAAAACGATTGTGGTGAGTTCCTGCAAATGCAATGAAGAGAACTGAATATTTCCACGTCTATTTATACTTGTAATGGAGGATGAAAATAAAATAACAAAAGCCCATGAATCTATCTCAATCTATATAAGTCACATCAAGGCTTACCCCAGTTATGAAATATCCTAAAAAATAATGAGAAAATGAAAGGCACCCATGAAAAGGAGAAAGGACAGGGGGCGAAAGCAGAGAGTCTTTTTTATGAGCAAAGAATCCCGCAACAATTTAACGGAGAAAAATGAGTTATAAGCCACAAGTCTGAGCTTCCAAATGCACACAGATTGAGAAAGAGAGAATCTATGCTTGTGGACACTGGGCAAAGTAAAAGCACTTCAACTACAGCAACCCAAGAATATAACAATAAATAATCTACATTTAAAGCCACTATATATATTTTATTTTTTGCTCACAGAAGAATAAAATAGCTGCTTTATAGCTGTTTTCATGAATAATATAGTGATGGTTCTTTCTGGTTATAAACTATTTTATTATTATTATTATTGTTGACAGCTAGCTGACTAGCTAGAGAAAACCAGAAGTTGAGGAGTTTATGGGGTAAATGAGGCAATAAAACGGCATCATGGAATTTCAAAAAAGGAAAATATCGGAATAAAAATAAATAATTTATATGGTATTTATAACATATGGAAGTCACAGAGAAAGAGAAGTGGGGTTTTAAGGCTTTTTTTCGTACCAACCTGGTGTGGTGTGGAACCAAACTAGAAAGAATATTAGGCTATTCTCTTTTCTTCTCTCTCTCTTCTTTTTTTTTTTTTCCTTTTGTTTGTTCATACAGCCTCGCTTCAAGGGGACCCCAACAGCAAGAAGCCAAGAACGAAAGAGTAAAGCTAGAAACAACAGCAAACAAGAGGAAAGCAAGAAAGTCCAAAAGACAAATTGGTCAAAATAATTTTGCATTTATAAATAGGAGAGAGAGACAAATAATTAGTGCATGAGTCTGAATTTTTATGTCTTATTCTTAGTTAATATTTTTTTATTAATATATAATATGTTAGATTCATTTTTTGCAATTATTTTATCAAGCTAAATTAATAGACTATGAAAGCATATAAAATTAATATCGCGGTTTGGTAACATCATTTTTTGCAATTATTTTATCAAGCTAAATTAATAGACTATGAAAGCAATAAATAAATAGGCATATAAAATTAATATCGCGGTTTGGTAACACCTATATCCGCGAGACACGCTCAGACATCGAATCATCCACTAATTCTCAACGATTACAAATACCAATCGAACTTTATACAACTAAAGACTCTCTCTTCAAATCATCTTCTCCCAAAGATTACAGATTCTTCTCCAGAAAAACGTTAATGGAAATTTCTCAAAATATTATGCGTAAAAACCAAAAAACTCACAAAAATGAATGATCTTTGAGTTCTATAGAACTTTAATTTCTTATCTTTACGGCACAATCCAATTCTATTACCATATTATCTCCACGTTGCTTTATTCATCATGTTGGCTCCATGTGAATATCATCACCTAATGCAAGCCTTATTTGAATTCCACATATCTTGACAAAGTCAAGTCTTCAAAGTTCAAACAATTTCAAACCCAATTTATCATATTATCCTCACGTGCAAACCATCAAGAGAGCAATCCGATTTACTCTTCAATTATGGTCACACTAACTTCAATCCCAAGTTCAATTCAAATTCCAACACTCATCCCAAGTTTATTTGCTGCTATCATGCCTCCACGAGATCCTCTCTATTTGGATAAGCCCCAACTTGAATTAATCACTTCTTTGCTGCAACCTTTCAAAATTCAGACCATATTCTCACTAAATCGGCCGTCAGCTTTATCTCCTTTTTAAATCCGGACATGGCTCTGCAGCAACTTGAATTCAAATATAACTCAAATTCCAAAATTAAATCAAGTCAAATCTGCCGCAACAATTCGGATAAAATCGAATTCAAATACTCTGTAAAAATCTCTGCTCCAAGTTTGCTACGAAACTGATTCTTAACCGAATACGCACTAAGACATCTTCAACCTATTTTTGAATTTTTTACAGACTGTTGTCAAATCATGCCAATTAGACAAAATACTTAACATAATAAAATTAAGAGTAATAAGTAAAAATTCAGACTCATATACCTTAAAATAAATACAACAATTTTCTTTTATATAATATAAATAAATGTAATTATCTTTTTTTTTTATTGGTACATCTAACAAATACAATATTTCCTTTACCAGACCAATGTGCACTTCATATTTCTCCATTGAAAATTTTAAGATTTTTATCTTACCTTGTAATTGATAAGAGTAGGTCTTATTTATATAAAATTTATATGTGAAACTCAGTCGATATAAATTAAGATGATTAGACGCTCATTTCAATAAAAAATAATAATGAACACTCATATTTAGTATTTTTTTTAAAAATCATGTGTTGAGACATTTTTCATAAGAGTGGCTTTATTTGTCTTGATGAGAATTTCTTTATTATGTGGACAAATTCCTATCTGAACAAACAGAATTTTTCTTCCCATAATGAAATAAGATTGTCATATGACAAGTTTCAAACCCAGATTGCCACTTGGCATTGTTTTGGAAATAAAAAAATAAAATAAAATTAGAAAGTATAGATGTTAAAGAAAAAAAAAATCTAGAGAATGGACACCGCGTTTTTTGCAACATCCAACTTTACAAAGAGAAAAGAAGAAGTTTCTTTCGTCTGAAATGAGAAAAAGAGGAATAGCTTTTCCAATTTGGCCTCATCTTATATTATCAAGAGATGTGAAGACCATATTTGGTGGTCCAAAATTGTCGCAAATATGAACATTATGGTTTCTTCCACAGCCCCCAAAAAAAAAATATATATATATATATATTGATTATTTTTGTGTGGACTTATTTGTAGAGTACTTTTAAAACAAGAATTAGTTAAGAATGATCATACATTATAGCAACAATTATCTTATCTAGTTTGGGAGTTGAGAAGGATGCTTGGCTCCTTTATCTCTTTTTGATATTTTTACTAGTAGTGTGTAAATGCATGAACCTTTCACACTAAACGTACGAATATTGATCCCTTTCCAAGAAATTGTCTAATGTGCGATGAAATATGCATTAAAGACTTAATCTTTAATCTTTAATTAACTTTAAAGTGTCGCTTTTAAGTTGTCAACTCTTCACGTGCCCTACTCCAAATGAAAATTATTAAGGTCGGTAATCCAGGTAGCGACTCAATAATACGACTCAAAACTCATATAAAATTAACAGATTTGAGTTTATTATAAATGAGTTTGGGTCATAATCGGGTTGATACGATTAACACGATTAATAAATAAGTTATGTTAGTGTTGACCCCCTAACACGAATTGACACAATTAATTATATGTGTCATTTACAATCTAATGATATGTGATATAACATGAAAGTTTATATGACATATTAAATACAAATAATGTGAATTTTAATATTTGTAGGTAAAATTCATTTATTTTTCTTATTAAACATATATATAAGATAAAAGTTCATTCCCATTATCGAGTGCCTTTTGGAATAATATTAAAGGGTGGGAACTAATTAATAAGACTCTGTGCATTGCTATACCGAAATGGAGAACCCGTAGTAGTTAAACATATATATAAGATAAAAGTTCATTCCCATTATCGAGTGCCTTTTGGAATAATATTAAAGGGTGGGAACTAATTAATAAGACTCTGTGCATTGCTATACCGAAATGGAGAACCCGTAGTAGTTAAACATATATATAAGATAAAAGTTCATTCCCATTATCGAGTGCCTTTTGGAATAATATTAAAGGGTGGGAACTAATTAATAAGACTCTGTGCATTGCTATACCGAAATGGAGAACCCGTAGTAGTTAAACATATATATAAGATAAAAGTTCATTCCCATTATCGAGTGCCTTTTGGAATAATATTAAAGGGTGGGAACTAATTAATAAGACTCTGTGCATTGCTATACCGAAATGGAGAACCCGTAGTAGTTAAACATATATATAAGATAAAAGTTCATTCCCATTATCGAGTGCCTTTTGGGTGGAAACTAATTAATGATCCCGTTTATTTCGCTGATTCGAGTTTAGAATTTGAGTTTCGCTACAGTAAAAAGCTCTCATAAACAATCACATCTAACTTTTTTGCTACAGTAAAAAGCTCCACATAAAATCACATCTTAACTCGATTTAAAAACTCAAATCAGCGAACTAAATGGACCCGACTCAGTGCATTGCTTTCTATAGCATATATATATATATATTCAACATATTATAAACAACATTATGATGCGCTGCTTTTGCATATGGCATTAATTAATAAGTTTGAAATACTATAATAAGTTCAAAAATGGAGATTAGACAAAAAGTTTATGATTTTATACGATGTGTCGGGCATTTTTGGGAATTTTAAATAATTTTAGATTCCACATGTACATGATGTTTCTTTGCTTTTTGCAGGTCTCCAAAACTCTCGTCCAGGCTCAATTTCTATGTGCTAACTAGATTTATAGCCACATGAAAGTTTATATGACATATTAAATACAAATAATGTGAATTTTAATATTTGTAGGTAAAATTCATTTATTTTTCTTAAAGGAAAACATAAATTGATCAATAAATATGTTAAACATGTATTGATTGTTTTAAATAAGTCATTATTATATTAGTTATTTATTCAATATATTAATTTAAACGGGTTATACGATTTGACACGATTAACACGATTAATAAATAGATCGTATTTAGATTAACATTTTTAACACGTTTAATAAATATATCGTGTTTAAATTAATATTTTATGACCCACTAATACGAATTACCACCTCTAAGAATTATAGAGAATCCATTATATATATATATATATATACCGAAATGGAGAACCCGGAGTAGTTAAACATATATATAAGATAAAAAGTTCATTCCCATTATCGAGTGCCTTTTGGAATAATATTAAAGGGTGGGAACTAATTAATAAGACTCTGTGCATTGCTATACCGAAATGGAGAACCCGTAGTAGTTAAACATATATATAAGATAAAAGTTCATTCCCATTATCGAGTGCCTTTTGGAATAATATTAAAGGGTGGGAACTAATTAATGGTTCCGTTCATTTCGCCGATTCGAGTTTAGAATTTGAGTTTCGCTACAGTAAAAAGCTCTTATAAACAATCACATCTAACTTTTTTGCTACAGTAAAAAGTTCTCACATAAAATCACATCTTAACTCGAATTAAAAATTCGAATCAGCGAACTAAATGGACCCGACTCAGTGCATTGCTTTCTATAGCATATATATATATTCAACATATTATAAACAACATTATGATGCGCTGCTTTTGCATATGGCATTAATTAATAAGTTTGAAATACTATAATAAGTTCAAAAATGGAGATTAGACAAAAAGTTTATGATTTTATACGATGTGTCGGGCATTTTTGGGAATTTTAAATAATTTATAGATTCCACATGTACATGATGTTTCTTTGCTTTTTGCAGGTCTCCAAAACTCTCGTCCAGGCTCAATTTCTATGTGCTAACTAGCTTTATAGCCTTTTATTAGTTTATTTAAGTTTAATATCGTCCAACAATACCAGAAGCTTATAACGTGATTCATTTACAAATGAATAAAAGGGAATCGTGTATGGTTTTAACTAGGGCTCTAGGATTTTTTCCGTACACACATGCATGCAAAGACAGAGTTGGGAATAAATATTTATATATATGTTTAGATACAAGAATATAATATATCAAAAATGCAACTTCGAAGGATTGTTATGACATTTCCGAAGACGGTGAGAGCACCATGCATATATACATATATATATATATATATCGGTGTGCATAATTTCACCAAATATATACATACATACATTAGTGTATATATATAAATACACACACGCATATATATATATATATGTGTGTGCGCGCGCATAATATATACATCATTTACATATGAAAGCTGCAGTCACCATGAACGTTTAAAGAAAAAATCTCCATGATCACTAGTACCTAAAATGTCATTTGTATATAATATGTGAGTTTTAATGTTCTAAGACCACTCTTTTTTTATAAAAACAAAAATAAAAGTAAAAATCCTTTGAATTTTAATTACAATGGGCCAATAGTGATTTGCTCAAGGAATCTATGCATGCAGCTGTTTTCTTAATTCTTTTCCCAGCTGGCTATAAGCCATTCTTTCTCGTTTTTATAAGCATTTGTTGTTTGCATCTCTCAATTTTCTTTCCAAACTCCCACTAATTTATCTAATTAAGTATCATATACATGTTTATCATTTTTCTCATTTCCCATTAAAACAAAAATATTTCCCATCTCTATTGGAAAAACTGATTTGTGGGAAGATACAGGGGTCTTGAATATTTCCCATGTTTCTGTTGTCGTATACTCACAACCTCGCCATATTTTCTTCTAAATTATTGTCGTGATTATTCATTTTAGTTACAAGACCAATAAAAATGATAATTTAGAATTACTGGTACATTTAAGGTTGTAATTATCGACCTAATCAGTAATCAATCATGATGAGCTTCTTTGAAAATAAGACGATCTCCTTTCACTTTATCTACCAATGAAAACAAAAGCAAGAGGAAGTAAAAGCTACAATTAAGCCAAAAATCAATCATCATGAGCTGGATCCTTTTCAAATCACGATCAATCCAAGGAATTAAAATCTTCAAGCAAATCACATATATTATCTAATGAAAATAGACAAAAAGAAAATGTTTGGAGAAAGGATCATACGCACATGATTAACAAAACTGATATATTCCCACGGGACAAAGTACTAAAGGGCTGGCATCAGCATGATCACAAGAACCATCCAAGTCAGCCAGCTCCATCATCTTCTTCATAAGCACAGAAGCCTTCTCCCGCGCTTTGACCGATCCCCTCACCGAGAGATCAGCCAGCACGCTCGTGAACTCAGGCATCCTCAGCGCATCCCTCATGCACCCCTCGCTCTCGTCGAACAGCCTGATAAGAATCTCCGCTGCTCCTTCCTTGCTCAACATGCACCTCCCTTTCAACACCACCACCATAGAATCCACAATCCCTTCGCTCCTTCTCAGAGCATTAAGTCCCTCGTCGAACTTAGCCAGGAGACACAAGACCGCAAGAGCAGTCCCCGCAAGGTCTTCAGCGCCGTCGGTGCGCTCAGTCACCACTCGCATGAGAGCTGGAACGGCTCCTGATCTGACTGCCAAGGTGGAGTTCCCATGGAAGTGGACAAGCTCGGCTAGAGAGGTAAGGAGGTGATGAGAGGAGGCTGCATGACAGCGAGGCCCCGAGATCGTGTTGACGAGAAGCTGGATTGTGCCTGCCACGCCGAATTTGGCCTTGTTCTTGTCGAGCATTGCCAGGCTGCAGAGTAGAGAGGAAGCCAGCCTGCCGGATTCTGGTGAAGTGTCTGGGGAGGCAATGATGGAATTGAGGTGGGAAATGGTTTTCATGTCGGCGAGCGGCTGCTTGAGGTCAGTGTTTAGGGAGAGGTTGAAGAGGATGGCCAATGAAAGGATTTGGATTATGGAGGAGGGAGACTTGGAGAGGGTTAGGAAGCCTGGGATTGCTTCTTGTGTATGTGCAACCAAGTTCCTGTTTTGAGGATTGACCTTGGTCAGGGAAGCCAGGGCTCGGAGAGCTCTTTCCTGGATTTCATGGTCGTCGGACTGAGCCTCTGACAGATATTGAATGATTCTCTCTGCTGGAACTGATGACATCATTGGAGGGACGACAGTCTCTTCACGGAGTTTGTGGCTACAAAGCTAGCTAGCTCTCATCATTCTTATCAAGAAAAAAGAATGATATTACACAAAGAAGAGACGAAATGAAGGATATTTCCAATGTTCAATAGCTAGATGGTTCTAGACATCATCAACCTCAAGCTCTTGGATTTTTTGTAAGTTGGTGTCTTATTAGAGCATCAAGTTGAATAGTCGATGTTCTCACAGAGGTTGAGAAAAATTATTATTATTTTTTATTTATCAGTTATCACCAGCTATTAAAAAATATTATATATACTCAACTCTCCAATGTCCCTAATTTAATGAATCACATTGACAATGCCGTATATTAAATGAGATGTGCTTGTGTTCTGCCTCTATATTATGGTGTTAAATTTTAATATTCTCTTTTCATTACTTCCAAGGGTCGCCTACAAGTCTTGGAATCACATATAAGAAAGTTCACACGCGCTGAACTTCATCTCTAAAAGCAAATGGTATTATTCCTTTGATAATCCAAATCCTAACTTTTGCAATTATACTTAATAACATGTTAAAGACACCCTAGCCCGTCATGCCTTGGGAAGAAAATGAAATAGATGAGAGATTATATGAAAAATAAAATTGTATAAAGAAATATCAATCTCGTAACCATCAATGATTGCATTATTTCAAGCTGTTGTGAGAAGGCCAAAAATGACTCAAGAGTTACAATGAATGAACAAAACATGAAATTGAATCTAACAACTGCTATACAATATATAGCAGATTGGTTTCCTGATAAATTATTCAAAATTTTATTCCAGCAAAAAGCTCGACAACTCACAAGCCACTTCAATGATGATTGTGATCTCCATGACCATCAGGAGGACCACCAGGACCAACCACTTTGAGCTGCAAAATGTCAATTTTTTGTTCAGTTTATGCAACTATATACATTTACATGTGACAAGGACTGCAAAGGAACTGAGATAGAGAAAAGTCAATTACCATGAAGTGTTGAGAGCAGACTGGGCATTCATGGGGTTTGCCCTTTTCAAGCCAAAACCAAACAACATCATGCTCATCTTCTGCAGTTATTGAACATTAAATTCGATCAACCGATATATTCACTTAGGAACGGACATTAAGAAAAACCATTGTAACAACTATGAAGGCTTACCTCCCTCACCACCTGGGCATCCAACAATTCTCTTATCATAGAAAGACTTAACCACAGCAGGTTCTCCCTAAAAGCCAAATAAAATTAAAAGAATTAACTAATATTAGACATGGATTGAAGATTAGTAATGTCAATTACAGAATTGTTACCACTCATGTACTACCAATAAAATAATAAATAATACTAAAAGTGATTTCTGTTTTGACTTTGTAATTAAGTGAAGATTATGCAACTATTGTTCAAAGGAAAACTTCATACAATTACGAAGAAGCATGATGAAAGTAAGAGACGTTCCTAGCAAGTTCCTTCTCTAAAGAAAACGGTTGTTTCCAACAAGTGATTATTCATTTTTTTTTTCCGTCGAAAGGGATAGTATTGTTTTTTAATTATCATTGACAATTCGAAATTCAAACAGTTGTAACAAATAAAGGTTAGGAGAAATTAAACATTGACCAACCTTGGTACCAAAGGGACCAACTGGATAATTTATCTCAAGAATGTCCCTTCCCTGTACACACAATAAAAAATCATCAAGCGATCCAATCCTGTTCTTAAAATTACTAACAAAACCGAGATATAAACATTCAAAGCCTAATTAATCACGATGTAATATATATATCTATAATCAACCTCGAGCTCGGCCTGTAGTTCCTCGCGCTCGTGGCCGGTAGCAATGGGCATAATATCCTCAACACTCCTCTTGAAAAGTTTATCTGCCAGTGAAGAATATGATCAACCATTTAGCATATGTAACATCGTAAACTTTACTATTGTCCTCTATTTCCAGGCCTCCCGTTGCCTTTCGGAAACCAAAATCCGCTCTTTGCTTTTTTCCTGTCCTTCAGCGGATCGAACAATGAACAAATGTAACCAATATATATAGCTTCCCTCGTTTTCTTGTATCCTACTTTGGCAAATTTTCTCGGCAAACAAACAGATAGGGGGGGAGAAAAGGAAGCAAAACCTGAAGCGGTGGCGGCGAGAGGAGAGGAGAGAGCAGCGGATCGTTGAAACGGCGTCGTGGAGGAGGAGGCAGCGGAGGATACAGAGGTGAGGAAGCGGCGGGAGAGATCGAGAGTAGAGGATCGCCATGGAGCGTTCTGGAGCTGATAAGCTGAGGACAACGATACCACTCGCCTCCACATTTTGCCGGTCTTCTTCTTTCACTTTTGCCCAACCTCCACCTGACCTACCAAATGCAATAAAATGAAATTTTTTTGGTTGAAAAAAAAAAAAATGAAGAAATTGTTGTGCTTTCTTTTTCCTCGCACGCACCTAATAAGTTTTTTTATTTTTTTTTTCGGTTCACTAGTAAGTTTCAAGTTTTCAACTCATTATTATTATTATTTTTATATAAATCAACCCATTAATAATTAATTATTAAAATTTCTGAAGCAGAGTATCACTTTCAGTTTTCATTAATTCAGGGTAACAAAACCATTTCTTTTAATTCTTCAAAGTGAAATGAAAAGCTAAAATTTTTGTTTTACAGCATTTACCAAAGCTCATAATTCATTCCAGTAGAAATTTGTTCGATTATATTTACAAGCAAAAAAGAAAAAAGAAATAGACTAAATCATAACCCATATACATTAGAATCTCATTTATTTCACCGATTTAAATTTTTAATTCGAATTGAATAGGACTTTAATGTAAGAGTTTTTAACTGTAGTAAAAAAATTAAATGTGATTATTTATAAGAATTTTTAACTGTAATAAAATTAAAATTAAAAACTCAAATAAAATTAAAATTAAAAAACTCAAATCAGTAAAATGAATGAAATTTAAATTGACAAAATAATTTTCTTCAAAAAAAAAAAAAAAATTGGCAAAATGAGACCCATGACTTTAAAGTTTTTTTTTATTATTATCATTATATTTTTTTAAATGACGGCAACCAATTCATAACATTCCATTAACTTTCCTTTTAACTTTTTTTTTTCTTTTTACTAATTGAAAAAAGATGAGGATGTGCATGCCACCCGCTTTTGAATTCTACTAACTTAAATCATGTTCATTTTATCGATTCGAGTTTTAATACAGTAAAAAATTCTCAAAAAACAGTCACATTTAATTTTTTTACTATAGTCAAAAACTCACATAAAGTCACATATAGTGGTGGAACTTCAGGTGGTCCCGAAGCCTGAAACTTTTCGGGCTCAGCGGGCAGGCACCTGTCGCCGCCTGTCCACGTAAATTTTTCGGGCTTGGGCAGCCCGAGAAAAAAACATTTCCCGTAGCCCGCCGCC